TAGCACAAGCGACTCAATAGTTCCTCATTCGTTTGGAGATTCTGGCAGTGAATCAGCTTCTTTTTAACGAAGGTAGAGCTTTCAGGTCGGTGCCATGTCAAATCAACAAGTATAAGACGAAGCTCTGTGATAAATACACCACGACAGGCTTATGTCCTTATGGTGATCGCTGTTTGTTCATTCACCCAGATCATGGGACCAACGCTTACATCAGACCTGACAAGCTAGTCGAGGTAAGGCTTCTTTTTATTGAATAGAGTGTGGTTTTCGTTTATTCCCGGACTCGAGTGCGACATAGGCCAAATATTTGCGCCCACACGAAAGACGAAAAAGCTTTGCTGACTTGGAAATATATGATCACATCTTTGTTTGTATTTTTATTAAAAAGGGGTAGAAAGCTGGCATACGTCCGTGGGACTTGTGTAGTAGCCATTGTCGGACGTAATGGACTTCCCATCAATCTCGTATGCTCACAACTATCTTTGGTCTCTCACGATTGGGCATCTGGGAGTGGTGGCAAGCCTAAGCTTCCCTGCCCCATGCAGTCAAACGAACTGCTTGTTAAAGTGATGAAGCTACTAATAAGATCTGGAACTTCCTGCTTTCTTTGTTTACTCGAGCGAGAGGGTGCTTGCTCCGAAAGCTCGTATTCGGGAAGATACACACATCGCCAACCTTGTTCTCTTCAGGTTTCTCGACGTCATGCGCTTGCCGACATGCAGTTTTTGGCGTCCATGGACGCGGCACGTGGAGGGACCCCGCCAAGTGTTGGTCAATTGCCCGGGCAACCAAATCCAGTGTTAGCGCACATCCTTCCACCACCATCGGTTCCTCTCTTTCCACCACGTACCACTACCAATAGTGTAACAGCAGCATGCGGTCGAAGTACGAATTTTGGCGGTGGCGGTAGCGGTGTATTTGGCCCTAATGGGCAGGCTCGAACACAACTGCGCCCACATCCGAGTTGGCCGCTGGAACCATCGACCTTCTTCAAAGAGAAGACAGACGAATTCCGCACGCCGAGTCCGGACGACGCAGCTACACTCGCGAGCGGCAAAGGTGAGCGACTTTTTGCGCAGCCATTTTTTGAATAGGAGAATACGTGACACTTGTATCTCAGAGGCAACTGACCAATTTTTCAGGATCTTGGGACGAGCTGTCCACCCCAGCAAGAAGCTCGTGCGGCTACGTGTCTGGCGGTTCGACGCCGTCCGGTGCGTCGCCGTTTTCGACGGTGTCGTCTTCATCGCTTCATCTGAATTTGACTGATGACGACCGCGATTTCGACCTGTTCAATCTGACGGTCGGATTCGATCATATCGCTCAAGATTTAGCCAAGACCCTTGAATTGTGGTAGACTCGGCCACGATCAAAGGAGAAACCTTGCGACATGAACGACTTTCCTGCACCATTCGTGATTTTCTGAGCGCTGTAAGGTCATATTAGATTGTCGTCTTGGTGAACTACATTTCTTTGCATCATTCTTTATTCTTTTCAATGTGAATCTTACTAACACTTCTCCCGTTGCACTTACATCCTTCCCGGTTACACTCTTGCCCTAAATGGCCCTACTAATTAACAACTATGTTGGGAATCCCTGAGTCAACGTAATTATGAATGCCTAAGCATATGAACAAAGCTCCCTCACTGACTCAGGGTTTTCATGAGGTCTGTTCCGACCTCTGACCGTTCCCATCCCACCCCCTACCTTCCGTTGACGGGTAAGCGTCTTTCATAAGAGAAAAATTTGCTCCCGTTATAATTGCTCATACGTCTATTCAGAATCAGAAGAGTAATTCTGTAATATTAACTAGTTATCGAGGTAATATTTTAAACTATTAATTACTGTAGGGGCTCGACACATCTAATTTAATTTAATTTAATTTTTTCACTATAATTTTTCTCATCGAATAAGTGTTAAGCATGTTGTGGCATTTGCATAACTGCATATTTAACTAATAACTGTACATTGTGAAATTTTTTGCTGAAATGCTAAAATAATAACTATATAATTAATTGTAGCTTAGCAACGTATTGATAAGGTAGCTTTCGTACGGCGGACATCTCATCAGCCGATCAACGCGTGAATTAATGTCGATTTGCTGCGCGCGCGTAAAATCGATACCCATTTTGAACGTGTGCGTTAATTGCTGGGATACTGTTGTACGAAAGTCACCCCATCTACGCCGGCACATTATTGCCTCGTGATAAAGATGTAGCATTTGAACGCTAGTGAGCAGTGTGATGATTATCGGTCGAGTTTTCTGTACTTTCTACTGTTTCTCATTATTTTGGAGCCCTTTTGGCTCCCCCTTTTTCATTGAGTGTTGCTCTTTTCCCACCCACCCAGAGTTTGCAGTCGTTTTGACGTCTACTTTCTCTTCATTATGTCACTATTATAAGCTATCCTAATTCCATTCTAAATGACATCGCAATATCATCGTATAATTTTTCGTACGAGTCGCAAGTCACCTGCCACTTCCCCCATCGATCCGATCGGAAAATTGGTTCCGAATATTGGTCCCACCCTGCATGTGTGCTTGTCTGCCAGTCTGTCTATTTCCCGGTTTGTCGTGTACATCACTTTGTAGAATAAAATTCTGTAAATGCTTTGTATATGTCATGACAAATTGGGCAATGAATAAAGCATAATTTTTGTTGTGTATCTCAAATTCACAGGGTACTCCATAAATGTTGTGCAAGGTTTCTCATTTTATGATCTATTTGACTTTGAATAATCATATACAAGTTCCCTCGACCATTTGCATATTGAAATTCATGCCATTTAGTCGATATTAGCTATCTTATTATTAGAAGATTATTAATATTATTAGAAGCACAGTCCCTGGGTCACCGGTTTTCGGGGAAATGGGATCAGTGTTCTTCTAAATTGATGGTTCAGCTTTCCTCTTTGGATTTTNGGGCCCAAATCTGAAGTAAGGTAGATTAGTGAGGTCAGCTGATCCTACTGTTCCACTGTACTTCAAAATTGGGCCCAAATAATAGGCGCTAAAGTCGTCAGAACAGCTATGGGTCTCGCCGCGCAATTTGCCGCGCGCACCCTTGGACGCACGACTTGACCGTCCCCCGGCCAACGTGGTCCATGATAGTAACGTGACACGAACGTAGCCATCACTACTGCGGACTTCTCCTATACGCTCCAATTGAATCATGTTTTCTCTGAAAGTATCAGAGAAGAATGCAGTTACGGTCTAGTCATCCTCACATAGCGGTGCTCAGCCTGTCAGACCTCCGGCCACATGTACTTCTTGCGCTCCTACGGAGATTGGAGTTGACTAATTTTTATCACAACCTCTCTTACACTCGAAGTAGCACAAATTAGTGCTAAATGGCAACTAGAACGTTCCTCTTCGGTTCATCTCGGCAGTCCATTGCGCACAGGTACGACCTCCAGAAAAGAGCGATTTCAACTGGTCGATGTCCTCTCCGGATTGAAGAAGCAGATTGAAGCTTCAGAACATCATAGAGTTATTCCAATAAGTTGAGGAGCCGAGACGTCACGAGGGATCCAGTCGGTAACCACTCTGGTCCCACGGTCATCACAATATGATATACTTGTCTGGCTCTCCTGATCTTCGATTCCTTCGCGTGAGCAAGGCATCCCCGATCTTTGTTCATTGGTGGAACTCGGAATTCTGGGTTACGTTCTGCTTTCGTGAGTAAGGAGGTCCAGTGCGTCGTCCTTCCCAAAGCGCGTTGAGAAACGCTTAGAGCATGTTCATCCTACTTTCGTAGAGTCCAAGCTTCATCATGATCTCCACTTTGTAGATAGCATCGTGTTTATGACTCCGAACGCCGAGAAGGTGGAACAAATGTTCTATACTTCGACAGCTAATCGGGAAGATCGGCTAGAGATAAAACTCCACGAAGACGATGCTTGTGAAAAACGGTCCAATATCTGATTTAGTCGCAAAAATTCCATTTAAAAGTATTTGCACGAATCGATGGTGGTGAGCAAGTGCTTTCTCGTTTCGATCAGTCCGATTAGGCACTTGGTTTTCCCAGCTTGCATTGTCAAGTCTACAATACACACTTTCGATACAGCATTCAAAATACGGATCTGGCCAACGCTGCGGCATTGTGGGCTCTGTTCTTGCCATATGAGCACCTACAACTAGACTGCCAAGCTCTCACATGGAGGCTGGGTCGACTCGGGATAGTTGGCCAGGCAATGGTTATCTGAGTGGACAAGAAGGGCAAGTCTCAATCTGGAAGTTTTTTAAAATGCTAGAAAAAGCGTGGACCCAGGGGAGTGGATGATTTGTATGAATATGCGTTGACGGTTGTTCTATCAATTTCTGTCTACAGATGGACCACGTCTAATGGTAAGCAGTAAGTGGTGCTCGTATAGCATGCCTATACGCAATGTTCTAAGGCTGAGCTTTCAGTCGAATCCCATCAGGACCGACTGCTTCGCGTTTCAAGGTTGGTTTGCAAACTTGTGCGCTAGCTTTTTTTTTNTTTTTTTTTAAACAAATCGGTAAACTTATTGCATCTTGTTCGTTCGAGTTGAATCATAAGTAGTGGTTAGATCAAGTACTCAGTCACCACGATTTTGTTACCTCAAACAGTATATCTGGTTAACCGTGTGATACAGTAGTCACATTTCAAATCGAAACACAGCGGACCATTACGAAATATTTATTATCCGCCGTATCACCAAAACGTGTGCTGCATGAAATGTAGCTTAGAGATCCTTTGGATATCTACCGACGGTGTCATGCGAAGTTTCCTGAAAAATCGTGTGCAGGCTATTTCTAGCGATTTTTCAATATCAGCAAGTGTGGTGTGTATTGCAGAGCAGGCTTCCATTTCCGAAACCCAATAGATAGTGGTAGTCCAGTATGGTATGGGTTCCATCTAAAATTTTTCACAAGCCTATGTGAACGGGTTTTCTGTCTTGTTGCAGTGTCCACACTCCAAACCGAATACTTCAGGTAATGTTTAGCGCCTGACCGCTTTGTCTCCCTAATGTCCTTCATGTAGATATTCTGATCACTTACACCTTTTCCAACAAACATAAGCAGTTTCCGCCAGGTGGCAGTAATTTCAGCCCACATCATCACGTAGAAGTGGGAATCGTCAGGAAAAACGATGCGGCCCTTTCTCATGGTTCGTAGTGACGAGTATGAAGAGTACATCGATCCCTGGCTAATGGAAAGTGAGGAGTTTCTATAGCTCCGAGAGCCTATGAAGGGCAACTTTATTCACCAGAAATGAGGATGTTAAGATGCGCATGTTGGACGCGATTGGATCGGATAGAATAGAGGAATCAGGACGGTCATGCAGACAGCTTCTATCCAGCTGACGCGATGGCATGGGCACGTTCTGAGGGTGAGAAGACCACCAGATTATCAATTAGATTAGCAATGGGTACTTAAATTGTTGACGAACCGTTGCCGCTCACTTGATTTGGTCAAAACGGCCTTTGCTATCTTTTGAACTGACAGTTGGGTCGCCCGGCTTACGCCGGGCCCATTCCTTACTTTTACAGAGCAGTTGGAAAATCCCTCTCCCCCCTTAAGTGGGGAATGGTAAAGATTGAGCTGGGTTATCCTTTCACTACCTTTATCGTAATCATGTGTTTTGCGGACGGACAGACCGAAACACCGACAAACTTACAAACCGACACACCAAGTTTCTGCTTTATAAATGAGAGGGACTAGTTTTTGTAGTATGCCTCATTTATTTCGTTAGGTTGGTCTGTAATGCAAGTCTCTACTTTGATGTGGCTTGGTTGGGCACCTCTATTACATTCGTCTCTTGTTAGTGTCTAGTCGTTTCAACTCTCTTTCACATCCTTTTTGCATTTTGAATGCGCAAGTAGTTTAAGGTACTCACCTCGGACGTTCCTCGGATAGAGTTCGATAGTAAGTTATACTAGAAATGCCTTTGGAAAGAATTTGATCCTGATAGAGTAAAGACGAGATTGTGAGATAATGCAGCTTCAATTGGCCAGAAAGTTATTTTGGAAAGATATTTTACACCATGATCTAATTTCGTAACGGGAACGGTCGCCGTCACGTCACTTCGTTGGAAAAGCCAGCCCCATGAAGGTGTGAAAACGGCAAATGCTTGCTTTCGTACTAGAGAATGGTTTTCTCGATAAAACGGGGGAATTCCAAACGAGGGCCCCCGGTTACGGTGGTGTCCGATTCACTATCCTTCTGAACGAAGCTGTTTCGTATCTGTTCCAGGATATAGGTCGAGAGTGGTCGTTTTGCTCGTGACGGTTTCATGATTACCTCTAAAATCGTAGGGGATTGGAATTTTGTACCCGAACGACTTTTCGCGTTGCCCTTCGGGCGTCTACCGTATCACGAGAAAAACATGAAAAGCAGTTCGATTTCATCGAAAATATTTTCACTAGAATGGAAGCATCGTGATTAATTGTTCCTATAACAGTGATCACGGAAGCAAATGGAATCATTGCCCCCAAAAGGCTGAAAAGAAGCTTCAAAAGGCTAAAGACGGAAGTGAACCAGCAACATCAGAAAAAATCAGAGTTTATTTTGTTAGTATTGAGCTTTAATAACGAAAACATGGGCTTCACTCGTTGGGATCTCTGAGTTTTGGCATTGTTAGCAATGACCATTGGAACTGACGGATCTTCAGCCTGTGCAAGGTTTTCAAGAAGGGTTGTGCGTCTAATTACCTGCCTACAATCCCAATTAAGTTATTTTATTTGAGACACAATTCTGAAGGGTAGCCCAATTTCTGCAGTATTCCGTGGTGTCTTTACTTATACACCAGCTTTCTACAATTTGAGAGACATAAGGTGTTCATATAATAACATAGGTCGTATAAATAGGTCATAAATAGAATTCTTTGGCGAGATTTTGTGTCAGCATCAAAGGGGCAACTTCGTATAAATGTCTCCAAATAGGCTACCGCTCCAGCATCCAAAATGCAGTCCCCTTCATAGGGTGCTGCATTGCATGTGCTTCTTTACTTAGCGTGCAGTCGTCAATTGTAGGCTCTTCTCTGCTCCTGCAGAGAGCTACCACTGGTTTTGATTTCCATCGAACAGCTATGATCAGTTTTTCGATTCGCAGCTTTCTTCCCATTCCGGAAGGGAATTCGTTGACACACCCAATCGCTGGTTAGTTCCACACCTCTTCAATCTGTGCTGCTGAGCTTTGCGCGACCATTCGAAGTAAATTGTCAGCTGAACCAGGTCACAATGCCAGAATGTCTGCCTCATATTTCCATACAACTAGTATATAGTACAAAACAAATACATAGTTGATTCTCTTTAAGTACTCTAATTTGATATGGATTGTTTAGTCTGACAGTTATGGCTATTCTTGCATCACTCATACTCGTCATTTTGGTCTTTCTGATCATTCGAAGTTTGCAGTCTTGTCGAAATAAAAGGCGAGGTACGTTGATCTTTTACTATGTATTCTACCCCTCTACTCTAAAAAGTAGTCACTCGTGGTACACTTTCATCTCGCTATGTATCGTGGGGTTTGCCTGATTTCAAATTATTGACTGAGCTATGGACACCGCTGACATCTTGCTCAGGGATTCAAGAGTGAAAGGTAGAGTATGATGGGGCTTCCTATAGACAGAAGTATTCTTGAGTATTACGTTCCTTGCCAGTACTAGTACGGGTATGATATAATCAAAATGTAAGGGGTCTAAATGAGTCAGCTGCCGTCTATGCAACGCTGTTAACTACCACACTCGAAACAGGGAGACTCTGTTTGCAATGACAGCATCTCTGCCTTTACTGCGCCCAGCTTAGACCTTTTTCGTCAAAGGTAAGCNGCGTATCGCCCTTTCATGTCCCACTATATCTTCCTAATTGGTGGTTAGCAGTATCTGAATGAAAGCTTGAAGAAACCAAGTGGTCGCAGTGCCTGTCTGCAGCTGATATTCGCTTGCAGCCCTTCAAGATGTATGGTTCTGGTTGAGCCTCGAGTTTCTTCTTGTCCTGATCCTTCGATCCTTCGTCGGATCTGAAATGCGAGCGGAGGTATTCACTCGATGAAGCCTGGCCTCTTCAGCACAAGCGAGGAGACCCCGAACCAGCGCGTCATAGTCTTCGGTCAGGTCATCCAAAATCTGCCGGTCATCGGGATAAGGCGTCATTCAGAACATCTCCGTCGTATACAACATGTTTCGAGCTCTTTGCGCAATGTTGAGAGATCTCCAGCTTGTGACTGAATCTGATCTTAGCGCGAAGGAGCTGATGATCAGGAACACTGCAGATACACCGAACCAGCACTCAGTAAACACCATTTTCTGTATATACGTATACAGAAAACGGTGCTTTCTAGATGTTAGATGTGCTTACTAGATGTTGTTGTGTGTATACGTGCCTGTATATACATATATACATACACACATATACACACAAACACACACACATTACATATAGAAGGATGATCTCTCCGTCACGTTACACCCTGGCTTAGTTACATTGCAGACGCACCTCCACTCATTCACCAGCCCACTGTCTACTGTCCTCGACCAAGGCATTGTAAGGGCTTCTACAAGGTGGAGAGATCCCGACGATTCTGTGTTACATGCTGAAATAAGAGCCTTGGTTCGAATACGAAGCTGAATACATCACTAACAATGCCATCATAATCCAAACCCTCCATTTCAGAGCAAGCATTGAGCGATCAGGTCAGTTTGTGCAACTATCTTTAACGATTCACAATATTAAGAGCAGCACGTACAGCAGAGTTCAGGGGAGTGCTTGTAAAAAACGGTTGTCGACAAGAATGTCTCCATCTGATACTTAATTTCACAAGCAGCTACCTCTACACAGTTCTGAATATTTAACTAGTGAGCTGTGAGTTTCTAATCTTCCTACGTTGCAGAGAGGACCGCGTCCCATGAAGACTGGTGACATCTCACAGGATCACTTCCAACACAGAGGTGCCCTAGTAGTTGACTCAGGTCTTAAAGGACCAGTGGTAAGTGTGAACACTTACATTTTCTCTAATGATAATAGTCGATAAGGGCTGATAGGGAGCGCCAGAGGGAAGGGGCTACAGGATCCCTTGCGCCCTCTACAATGTTAACCAGAACCTTGCGCTTCGTAGATGAGGTGGGATTGAAGGGGGCGTAGATAGTTGGTAACAGAAACTGATAGCAACAGATAAGAGCTGACTAGGAGCCATAGAAGGCAAGAGTCACTGAGATCGTAGCGCCCTTCGTGTTACCAGTGGATTCTCGGCATTCTGTTGGGTAATATAGAGTTTGATAGAACAATGGGCTGTACTTTACTTGTGTAATCGTTTATTACGACGTGTAAAATGACCGGCATAAATACATAAATCTGCTAGTTTGTATACGAATGAAAGCTGATAACAACTGATTGGAGTACTTCCCTTTTTGTATGGCAAAGGAGCATTGCTCCTTCAGTTTGTGTGATATAATGTAGCACTGGATCGCAGATAACGGATTACAGAAGTTGATAACAGCCCTGGCAGATGGTCTTAGGTTTTTAGTTTCGGTGAAAATGTCGTGTGGAGGGAGGGGAGGGGGACGTTCACCGCAGTGTTTATAATATCGAAGAATGTACTTAATAAACACAATGTAACGTGCCATACATCAGGGACGCGCAAAATTTTATTCAAACTTCAGGAAGAATGGAGCACCGCGGTGGGCAGGGTTTCTTTCTTTTTCCCTTCTTTTCGCGCGAGGTAATCATCCCATCCACCAGGTCTTCCTACACCCTACTTGGGCTTAATGCAAAAATACATTTCCGTGGCTTAAACCGCATAAAAGCGCACAGATGACCGGTGCCCGCCGTCCTATTCGTCTCTGATCATTGCTATTAATAGAACAAGAATATCACGTAAGACTGAGTTCATTTCTTGATATACAAACCTCGTGCTGAGTGGCCCACTTCTATATAAGGAGAGCGAATTTAGGCGCATGTTTTGCTACTGGGTAAGTTTTAAGCGTAATGGGAATAAAGAACCACGTATTCCCTTTTCTATACCTATATTTACTATAAACTCTATCCCATCACCAATCTGTTACGAAATGTCATCGCTCAATGCGGAGACGTCGGTGGAATAATAGAGCTGTTGGAAGGGAGGGTCGAATACCCATTGAAGGCTGCTGTTAAAATCTGGGACAACAGTTGGAGATTTCGTGAGTCTAAGCGATAATCGTATGCGCCCCACGTAGATTTTAAAGCGCCTTCGTTTGGGGTATTCCCTTCTAAAATTTTGTGATCAGGAATCACTCGTTCGGAGAAAGGGATCAGGGCAACCATGTAGTTTGACCAGTCTCTGTAAATACCATCACGGAGTTCGAGTTTGATTAGTTGTTGAAGATTTCATAAATGGACTTTAACCCAACGTAGCATGCTCCTACTTCATGCGGCATGTGATCAAGTCAAAATAAGGTTATGGCAGAGCGGCTTGGCAAAGATATGACATTGTGCAAGCACAAGGTCTGTAGCGCTTATTGTAATTATAACATCTCTGGACCCATATCCAAATATCAAATCGAATCTGCTTGTGCCTGGGATTCAAAAATTGTAGTGAAATTTGCTTATATTCTAGCATCACTTGGCCGACGACAGCACGAAATCGCAGCCTCTGAAGGGCATTGAGTTCGATTCACGCCTAAATGAAATCGTTGACATTGGCTCAAATGTGGAGGTGCTTGAGGTAGTGAAATCAGTGATTTCGTTGATTATTTCATTTCTGACAAAACACTTTCAGCTTTATAATAACTCACATAGTTGTTCTTGATATTGTTAAATTGCTTCTGCCTCGAGTTATCGTATCAGTTGCGTAGTGGACCAACCGATAGAATTCCGTGGTTTTTCAACTATATTGTGAGCCAATTGTTGACCAAGGTCCCCTCACACCTGTCCAACAAGAACCAATTCCTTGAACAACTGTGGAACTTCCGCCTCGGTTCAAGTTGCGTAACAGAGCTATTTGACGTCATCTCGCTTTACACAAACGCCCAAAATGATCGAGCCCTACAAGCAATATCTGAAATGTTGGATAGGCACGGTAGGAGTATTGAGACCTTTGGGCTCGGTAAAGCACGTATTGTGACTCTCATCAAGAATGTCTTGGTTGTAGCATCTTCAAGTGGTCAGGTTCTTACTATTCTCAAATTAGAGGTTTGGCCATGGGTCAACGATTAGCTCCTGTACTGGCGAATCGAACAAAATATGAATCGAACATAATATATAAAATATGAGCAGAATCGAACAACCAATATCGGCACGCTTATCGTTGATGTACCGTAGGTATATAGATGACTGCTGCATTGTGACTTCGACACAGTCCGAAACGGATGTGTGTTTCCGTGTAATGAATGAGCAGTCACCGTACATCAGGCTCACACGAGAGATACCACAAGGTGGTTGGCTCCCCTATCTCAACACTCAAATCAAAGTGTCTAGCGGGATCGTACACGGTAAGTGGTACCGAAAAAAAGCTCGCAAAACATTTTGATTCACGCCACATCTGCGCATCCGTCCGCTGTTAAATGCTCTGAATCAAGGCGATTAGCTGCAGGTATAGCTTGGTAGCTAGCTAGCTTGGCTATATGGTACAACATGGTAACACTGAAAAAATCCCACGTTGGCAGGTGGAACACTTCGCGCCGAAACGATCTTCCTCTATGTTTACCGTTTATCTCTGACAAGGTATCTGCTGCAATACAACGGTGTATTGTTCGAGCTCAATTGAGCGATGATGCTATTCTAGTTAACATTTCGCCAAATAACATTATACGCCAACTTGTGAGAAACAGACTCTATGATACGCAATGCTTGACAGAGGGTTAGTTCAGTCTCTAGTGTTGCTGGTATTGTATTTAGTGAGTAATTTCTAACATTGTCTTATACAACGTATTGCTAAATAAAATAAAATGAATAAAAAGGGTTGCGTTACATGTCCAAACGGGAAAAATGGAGGTTGCGCTTCTGTAGGCGTAATTTATCAGACTCAATGTGGGGCATGTAATTCGAGCTACATAGAGGAAACTGCAAGAGTTTTAACAGTGCGAATCGAAGAGCATCTTGCTGGTAAACGGGGCAGTAATGTGTTAACTCCGTTAGGGAAGTAAAGAGAAAGTGGAAAACACGGTGGCAGTGACTTTAACATCAAGTGTACGATATTGGCTCACGAGACGGAAATATCGTCAAGAAAAGCGTTGGAAGCGTTCTCGATTTCAGCTAGAAATCCACATGTGAACAACTGAAAGGAGTGTGTGACGATCACAAATGATTTCTTGCAACACTGCGAGTTAATTCAAATTGCGAACGTGCTGCCGCAGTAATATTACTGAATAAGGACAGCGAAGTAAGATCATTCGCTTTAATGTACTGACCGTGTAGCGTAGTGCTACACTCCGCGGTAGGAGCGAGGTGAGCTTATCTCTTAAACTTTGAGCATTCTTCGTGCATTCCTGATAGAACGTCAAAAACGCTAGAGTGGAGGTGGGGTAGTATGCATTCATCAAGCTCTGAACATTCAGGCCTTCGAAAACGACGAGTCTGTCGAAACCTTGGCCAGAATAAAGATTCCCACGTATCAACCTCGAAGCAGAAGCAAAACTAACAATCTCAAGAGCAACAGAAATGCGGATGTTTCATGATGAGAGGACTTGGAATTTAATTCACATAGTCATGCCACTTCGCATCAAAATTAGCCAATGGGTATCATGAGTGGGTTACTCGGAGAAAACACCAAATGCTCTGACGTATTCACAAGTATAATAGATAGAAATGATAACTGGCATCATAGAGAACGCTTGTAACCCAAAATGATTTTTCCAATGTTTAAAATTCTTCAATTTTCTTTTGATGATTCCTACTCTGCAGCTGAACTTCAGCCTCAACAAAAGCCCAATCGGAGGTGTTGTAAATTTTTTTTTATTCAGAAATCTCGAACCAGAAAGGCAAAGAAAAGAAAGGCAAAGAAAACAAGCGTGACAGCCGTCACCGTCAAAACAGCAGAAGAGTTACAGGTAGTTATTTAGCAACCACCACATCTGTTTATTCATTCCAACTCATATCAAGTATTTTATTACTGTTTCATCAGTTTTAACTTCTCACCATAATCAGTAATACCAAATTATTCACATTCACCTTATGTTTATGTTTAGGCAGAAGGGGAAACACAGCGAAGTGCAGGGGATGAGCATTCACCAAAGGACCATTCATTTGAAATGAAACCTGTGCAAAAATCTAGTCTAGTAAGGCTTATACTATTTAAATACTTAAAAATATTCGTCACATTAAGGCAGATCTGGCAGGTCTCGATGGACCGTGGAAAATAGCCCCCTTTCAGTGTTGAATAGTCCAAACTACAAGAATCTTTCGTGACAGTAGGGATGGTCTTCTTCCTAATTTCCATCACATGCAAGCTCAAACTCCGAGCGTTGTGCGGCACTAAGCAGCTGTAATAACGAAGTGACATTGTGACTAATAACCAGGAATACCCTTTTTGGGAATGGAATTCCTTATGCAGCAGGATGTCAAAATTTCTTGTGTTCTTTTAATTACCATTCATTTCAGACTATAACAACATCCGATATCACATCAAGCGAAGTGAGTGCTGTAAGTTTTTGTTCAACATTTTCATTCACCTCTACAGAAGATTTGAGTAGGCTATAGAGCATGTAGAGAAATTTTCTGTAGCGTTATTCGGGAAAAGTATATTGAGAAAACTAGTAATTTCAGCAGTAATATAAAGGGGGAGAGCTGTATGGCAGATTGGAAAACTATGTGCTAGGTATCCACAAAAGAAATTGTGCAACAGACCATAAGGATAGTTCCACACAGGTAGGGGAAACGGGAGCAAAAGAACAGAGTGAGGCACAACTCTAAAATGGTTTGGAATTTCCCAAACACGCCTTCACACGGTGTTTATAGTATGGGTCGTCCCTGACAATCGCGTATGTATTCTATCTATTTACGATGATATCACTGATCAGAGACATACCGTTCGAGGGAATACAGGGATTCGGAAAATCACGGGCCTGAATTGTGTGAATCGGCATGAAAGATGAACTGCTCATCCATTCGATCTTACGATCTCCTTGATCCTTTCTAGTTGGTGACATACTTGTTCTGATTCCCAGAGCGAACTGCGCAATTTGCGTTGACTATGAACGATTAATCAGAAAGGTCGAGCCCTTGTACAGTAGCTGCCTTCACGAACCTTGAGCTTGAGTGAAGGAGGCAAATTAGTTCTTATTGCATTTTTTGTTACAATTCGGTTTGTAATGGCAACTCTAGCTTAGCAGCATAAATCTGAAGATGCCTAATCTTGAGCTGAAGTCTCATGTTTCAAAGGTCAATTAATTCTAGCAGTTTCCATTTTTTGCCTAACGTTCTTCTCTATATGTACAATCGTTAAACGACGGCAGCGTGCAATCCTATGATCAGGGCGGCGATAGGGTGGTAAATCAACCATCCCACTGGGCCACCACCGAGAATCGTGTCAGGATCTTCTGTCAATGGTTTTGGCACTTTGAGAATCAGCTGGTTCCTCTTCATTTTCGAGCAATGACGTGCCCCCATCGTATGAATGTGCTCCTGCTTACCTGCTGCCGACCTGGGAGTTTGACTAAAGAAAGCGGTAAACAAAGCAGAGTTCCTCTACGGAGGTGGTCCTTGCATCATTGCCTAGCATTTTGTTTGGGGAATAGAATAGTGTGCATTGCAACAATGTTATATTCTTTTGTGAGGATATAAAAAAGGTCTCTCCACCGAGTTATATTGCGTACTGGTAATCATGGTCACGCAACGAGGGGAGCGCCTCCCCTAAATCTTGTACATCTGGAGCGAAAAACATACGAATTTGCATTTTTCATGCACTGTGCATTTTTTCGTTTTGTAAAATAGGTAAATGGTGTGGGTGCGGTGGCTACTAAATATAGGTAAATACTTCGAGACAGGTATCGAAGCCTCCTGTTTATTTCAGCTCGATCATCCTCATGGCACTACTACTACCACTACAACCACTACAGCTGATTGAATGAAGCTTTTGGAAATGCGAGAAATCAAGTCAAGCTAATCCATTCATTAAAGCTTTAATGAGCGAAATTCAAAATTCAGCTTAAGTTGATACTGCCTACTGCAAATCGTAGCAGTAAATGTGTCGTTTCATACACCAGTCAAAGATTCTACAAAGCAGTGTATGTAAAACCATTAGAAACTCATGCTTAGACCTCATGCTATACGCAGGGAGTGTGAGCTGAAGAGCTATGTGACTGTGGTCACTCTGCTGCTCGATCCACCATTCATGAGGGCATTAAGCGAGCCAGCTCCGCCTTTTTGCTACTGAACACAGCGGCTTCCTGATATGATTGTCAAGACACCGTATTCTTCTTCAGCGTCTTCTAGTATTGTTCATCGACTGCTTCACCGTATTCTTCTTCGACAGCTTCACCGTGTTCTTCTTCGACAGCTCCACCGTATTCTTCTTCGACGACTTCACCGTATTCTTCTTCGACGGCTTCACCGTATTCTTCTTCGACAGCTTCACCGTATTCTTCTTCGACGGCTTCACCGTATTCTTCTTCGGCTTTTCAGAAAACACTGGTTGCCAGAAAGACTTTCTTCTTTCGATATTCTTTATCTCGAAAAGAGTATGTGATGTCATTCCTAATCATCACGGATTCGAACCATTGACGGTGACGGTACTGAACCACATGGTTATCCGCTGCGCTCTCTAACCACACGTTGTTTCGCTTATGTCCACCACATAGTGTAGGTCGCAATTGAACCGGCGACCTAGGCCATTCAAAACTCCACGGTACGCTCGTCCTACAGGTATCCAGTATTCCAAAATTAAGCTGCATGGATAAAACCGGATAGGTCTAAGTCTAGAATCCAAGACCTTTCACCCAAAACCTCAAATGCATTCGAGCAGATGATGATCGGTTTTGATAAGCCGACCATCTTCAGCATTCGGTTACAAAAATCGTGACACGCTGCGGCCACCAGCCCTGGCAGAGCTCCTGGAACTCGGCGATGAAAAAAGCCTCGCCAAGCTTGAGTCAACAGTCAATATCCACCTCCACCCACCCTAAGCAGGATCTTTCATGAGCGGCGGATATCAATTCCTTTGAACCGCAGCCGGCCAGGATGGTGGCAGGCGAACGCTCCGACCACCGGGTAGGTCCGAGCACCGTACACCGTACTGGTCATGTGCTCCGTGAGAATCATTCTATAGGGAGGTTAAAAGACCTCCCTACACCCAAATCCCCTGAAGCAATCTTCTCTCGTCTAACCTCTCTCACTTAATGAGTTTCACTAGTTCTAGAACAATAACAGGTACGGTACTCATGATGAATGAACACTGTTGAGGACCTCGGCTCAACGTCCGAGTCCACACTCCATATTACTGGACTCAGACTGTGAGCCGAGGCCCCGCCCACCCTGGGATAACCTGAAAAACTCAAACAAGCCGGCTCCACACGAACCTTGCCTCTGTAAAACGAAACTGCAACAAATTTTGACTAGAACGTGGTGGATGGGTTGCAGCCCCACAACGCCTCTTTGCGTCCCGTAAGGGATGCACTCCGTTTAAATTGTACGGAGACTCTTGCTTTTCTTAGAAACCATAGCTAATGCTTTATTTCATGGAACAAGCTGGAAAGTTCGATAGAAAGCGAAAAAGTCAGTGAAAAGCTGATTTTCTGGAAAATTGTAGAATCTTGTGAAGAGCTGGGAAGCAAAGAAGAACCTAAAGAATGGATTTTTAGGACCTTTCCCTCCGAAGAGAAGTAATCTAACAACCCTTCAGATTTGGAGCAGCTCTCAACTATTCCATTTTTTGACCGTAGAAACGATTGCATACCTATTCCGTCACTTTCTGCACACGAGTCAACGTACTTCGGTGTTCTGACCAGCTGACTTCCATCGTCGAGTGGCCGGTTACCGATGGATCTGCTGTTCGATGGTCATCGAAAATCAGTCTTTGATACGCCGTCTCACAACCATTCCGCATCCTCCATATAGTGCACGAATTTTCTCTGTGCTCTCCTACTAGGGGATTCTCCTGGGTGAACAACACAAAATACCACACTTGTATGATGGGAACGATTTTACCTTAGCCGTTTTTTTGGAAAACAGTGGCAGCCAACTGGATGTTGCCCGAGAGACAATGGAATTCGGGCGTGCTTTTCTGACTCGCCGGGCAACGATTACTTCTCTCCGGTGGACAATACATCGGGAGAAGGGTGAAGTCCGGACGAGTCGATGTCGAGTTCAACCAAAAAAGAAATTCAGGCAACCAAGCTGGGGGATAATCGTTTCTGAGCGCCCAGGGCTCAGCGTTGCAATGTGGAAAAAGTGGCCCGTCATTGATTTACCAGTGCACTTCTGAAAGCGGTTAAAATGAGCCGAGCCTGTAGTCCTTCCAACGAAGTGGTATAGACTTGGTCCAGTTGATCGATTGACTAATGTTCCTGGCGCTGATTCGACTACATTGGTGAGGCCTTGTCGCCCAGTGTATACCTCACAGTCTCTCATCTCGAATTTATTGCCCGATAAGCCCTCAACTTAATAGTCAAGCGGAAGCCAAGACATGTTATGGCTTCAAAGTCGTTTGTACCCGAGTGTATTCACAGTGTCAAACGAAAAACTTCGGGCGAGTTTTAGATAATTATGAACGAGCATCGGCTTGAGGTTCTGGAAGTGTATCAGAACAGCTCACAGCGAATCAGAGAGTAATCCATGCTATACGACTCGGCTCTTCAGTGGTGCGCAATGTGGTCAGAGAGCGTAGAGGATAGGAGTGCTGACCATCGCTCGCAGAGTCGATGGTTCGAATCTGCGAGCGTTATACTAGCGCAAAATGCTTAATGAACTTTAAGTACAATTTTGCAAAATTGGCAAAAATGGAAGCGCAGAAAAAACGATTCAGATGGGAGCAATGGTTCTCGAACTAATGTGGTGTTAACCTGCTATCGGAGAAGCCCTGATCAGTATGAGAGGCCTTGAATTTGAATGTCACACAGGCCGTGGTAGATACCATCGAACAAGTCCTTCCCTATTGATGTTTAATTATTTGTATCCGTGAATAGTGGATGAAATGAACCAAACGGAGAAATGCAAGAAAGCAGTCCCGTGTAGGATATAAACCTATCACTTGGCGAGTGCTAGTCTAAACACTTATCCATTGCGCTCCAACTGCACTGATGAATAAGTTTCGCTAAACAATCATATACATAGCATTGAATGTTTTGCACACAAAACATTTTCGAAAGACAGATGGAGATGTAACCTCTCAGAACCGATCTTTGGAACCTGTAAGCGTGAGGCTAGACTGCTATCCACTCGGCTCCCAGTGCACACCTTAGGCTAGTCACTGGCAACACATTAGTGGTGGACACAGCAAAAGAGTAATTTAGTGATTTATTTCGAACGTCCACTTCAAGCTGCGATTATCGAACCATCAATTGCTACACTTTGGGCGATCCGTACATACACCTAGCCAGGTTGCACGGCAACGACGGCGTTGAAATTCTCTTCCAAAAAAAGCAAACAAACAATCACACCTACCCGGTTGTTCCATCCCCGGTTGCCCGCTTCGGATCCACCATCCTCCCTAGCAGGCACACATTACTCGCCCAACGTATACACCACTCTCTCACTTCTTACTCACCACTTAAGCGATAAATGAAACGTACCTAGCGCGGTTCTTATAGTGAAAATCTTTCGCCAACAGGGCACAGAGATCATACCGCGCAAGTAGACAATGGGCACTCGATAGCAGATTCAATTCAGAGCTCTGTTTGAGTATCTTGGATATCCTCAAGCTGTGGAGCTCATCTTTTCGTTTTAAAAAATTTTGCGACCAGCCTTATTTTCAAAAGTAGTAACCGTGAAGTCCTGGAGGCAGAAGTCTACCTTAGTATGTGTTCACAACGTTCGATATATGAAAAATTAAACTAATATCATGAGGGAAATATTGAAAGAGATGTTATCGGAAGCGGTGTCAGATGAGCTCGGAATAAAATTATTCCATTACAGAATTCCGGAAAGTTTCGGAATTCGCTGCATATGTCAAATATGGATAAACAAGTGACCCACATTAATTGACCATCAGAAGCTACTACATTTTTTCTTTCTTTCTTTCACATTTTTTCTTTCGACTCTACATTCGAAAAGATTATGTCTGAACAATTCACATTC